CTCAAATAAATTTAGTGTACATACGGTATAGGTACACCTTTAATTACAATGAGGTATGAAACTTCTCTAACTTTAAATACTCCGTAGAAATGATAGTAATGAGAATAATATCTGAAAACATCTCTGTAAATCAGATGTTGAATCAGATGTTGAATGAGAGAATGAAAAAAAGGAAGCTGTTCGTCCCCAGTGTGTTTTCGAAAAGAGTTATCAATTTTCTAAGCTTAAAATAGAATTGAGTACAGCTGTTTTCGAAAACCGGAATTTGAAATAACTCAAGGCCATACTGGAGCTCTTGATAGTGTTGTGGTAAAGATTGATGATCTTTATAATGATGCAAAGGCATTTTTTAGCCGGAATTTTATCGCTGTCTGTGCCTGAAAATTTGTTATATGATTTCTTAATAAGAGCCGATATGAGTTGCCATTCAAACATTAATCAATGTTATTTTATTATCTTTTTGTCAATTATTGGAATGCAGTAGTTATTTTCCAACATGCGGAATTTAAAATTGCAAGGCATAATAAAGCCAACGGGAAAACATTAGGCAGAAATTTGATTGAATAGATCGGCTTCAGGTGACGTGAGGACTCTCAGTTTTGCAGAGAAAAAGGCAGCCTCTTGCCTCTCTACCTTAAGCGGCGTTTACACGAGCAATTTTTCCTTGACAAGTTTCTTGACAAGGAAAAATTGCCCGTGTAAATGGTCAACAAGTTTTCCTCAACAATTCTTCCTTGACAATGTTTCTTTGCTAGTGTAAACAAAGAACAAGTTTTCCTTGAAAAGGAAAAATTGCCCGTGTGTGAATGGTCAACAAGTTTTCCATGACAGTTCTTCCTTGCCACATTTTCCTTGTTTTGCATTTACACGAGCAAATTTCGTCCTTGACAATTTTTATTTGTCAAGGAAAAGCGAACATGTTGGCTTTTCCTTGACAAGGAAAAATTGTCCATTTTACCCCATTTACACGAGCATTTTTTCCTTGTCAAGGAAAACATGTCAAGGAAAAATTGCTCGTGTAAACGCCGCTTTACTCGCATATTAACACAGCCCAAAAATGTTATGTCCAAGTATATGAAGTGNTTTTGTTCTATTTCATTCTACTGTTCTATAATTTCATAAATATACAGCTGTTTGCAATAATTCTGACCCCCTCTGCCATATTTCATATATATCAAACTGACCTTAAATATTATGGGATATCATGACTGATATATTTTTTGAGTTGCCTAGAATAAGTACTACATTTGTTCTTTATGTACATTTAGTGCTTACACAATTAATTAATGACTAATACATTGGTCTCATAGTGGGCGCATAGTGTTTCCGTTCATCACAAGTTATTGTGTTAATCCCCTTTTTCTTTTTTCTTTTTTTCTTTTTCTACCTTTCTAAAATGCTTTTGTTGTTGTTGTTTGTTTGTGTCTTTCTTTTTCTTTTTTTTGACGAAAAAAATCCGCATTATTTGCTACGTACTGATTGAAGGCAAGTTTACGCAAGACGTTACATCGAATCTCGTTTTGACTTTTTTCCTGTGATAATTACTGCAGACCGCAGTGAAGATCTAATTGACTGGCTCACGGATCGACTCACATTTAATTTTGCATTATATTTGATACCGACCTTTTCTAATAGTAAAACGTAAAAATGCTGACCACAGAAAGAACGAAATATCTACTCTCGATCAATTCGCTTTAAAATCATAAATAATATGGATACTTGATTTACGGTCAGACGACGTGGTCAGTAATTTTCTCCGCCCCCCAAGAGTGCAAGAAAAGAATAAAATCCGAATAAGTGTCGGAGCTTTGGAGTCGGTCTGCATTGATCTCTAAGTATAAAATACATATACTGATTACACCCTTCAAAAACGGGTATTATTGCGCTATAGAACTGTGGTATATTTGGAACAGCATACTACATTTCCTAGCTACTGCGCATGCGTGGTTGAAAGATTTCGAAAACACTCGTCATTGGACAATGAGTGGAATATTTCCATGTCAGTCGAACTGAAAAATAAACCGACAGTTATTCCCACACAAGACATGTGATTAATGCTCTTTGCTTGGGACTTTTTTTTTTTTTTTCATTAAAATGATTTCAAGAGCCGAAGTGTGAGTTTTTAGTTCGTTCACGACAGTACTATTAAACTGACAGATGGTAGTACAATTACGCCGTGTCAGGTTTTCGTGATCGTTACGAGAGAAATGCAAAGCAATAAGAATGCCCTCTAAAATCATTTACTGACAGCTAAAATAATTGAGACTGTTTCGTATGTAAAAAGAGTTTTTGGGAAATTTTCCCAATTACCGCAGCCAGCAAATGAACGTGTTAGAAAAAAAGATAGAAAATATAAAAAACCCTCAAGGGTAAAGGCTTATCTCGATAGTGTCTGTAATTGAAAGTAATAGTTAGTTAACAATGAAAATTTTACATCTATAACCCTTTTAAAGAGTGTTGTCGGAAAATCAACCGATATTGATTATTGATAGCATCATTTGCCCTCCTAAGGCAATCCTTCCCTGACAAGATGGAGTTCGACGATGTCTTGTTAGAGATAGATACAGATGCTTCTTAAACAAAAACAAAACACTTACATGCAGCCACAGGCATTGCGATATGATATACTTATTGGTTTGTCCATGGTTTTCAGCAGATAACAGCAGTCGTGAATTTTGGATGGCAACTTCCTTCTGTCCTTTCTATCTCATCTCTTCAAATAGCTTTAGGCATATAAAGTATTCCATTTTTTTCAACACAGATACAACTCTTTCTGTCATACAGATAGAGTTTTACTATAGCTCACTATAAGAAAATAACTATGACATATGAAATATTCTCGCGAATTGCGCCAGAAATGATTAAAAAAGGAACTTACCGGAATGGTAAATTAAAGGTTGTACGTGCAAATAATTGTGTTCTTAAAATAGACTTGTGTTCATGATGTCTTCAATTTAGATTTTTTTCAATAATTATAATTGGTGCTGAAAATATATATGTTTAGACGAGTTCAAAATCATGCTCGATCGAGAAATGATCCGGTCAATAAACCAGTTATGTTGGTCTCCATTAAGAAAATGCTGCAAACGAAACGGATTAAAAATGATATATTCATCAACATTGACATTAACTAGGCAATTTGTTATATCAATAAAATTCACTAGAAAAATAAATACGACAAAAAACTCTCTGATGGGCTAGGATGTCAGGTCAGGTCTCGTGAGCGAGAAAAACAAAATGGCGTCTTGGAATCCTGTCAAAAAAGTTTCCTTTTTGATCAAATCCCATTAAAAAGGTGAATATTATAGACGAAATAATTTAGTCGAGAAGCTGTGCCGCTTTAGTCGACGTCCGAGAATTTTGGTATATCGGCAAAGCCGCGAGAGTCCGGAAAGAGTAAATTTCATGGATATCAAGATACCCATTATTTAGTTAATATTATTCTGTTGAAACTAAAAGCATCTGAAGGACGCATTGTCTGTAGGAAATGAAGTTTTATTACGAAATGATTAAAAAACACGCGTCGAAATTCATTATAAATGGTCAGTTTCCTAGCCGTTGAAATCAAATTTGCCAGCAAACTGTCAAATAGACATGTACATTTTGGACATAAAAAAAGACATCAACCCAGGCATTAAACGGGACAAACATATTCATCACTTCAGATCGAGCACCAGCAGACAACGTACAGCCGTCTATAAAAAAAATATCAGAGAAGGTAAATATGAAAAGATGTTTATCTGTCCTAAATTAAATGTTTACTTTTCTTGCCAATGTTTACTAGCCTTCGTACCAAGTTATCGAGCATAATGATTCAGAAACGTTGGCGAGTCAAACAGTGAATTTTCGTATCGTCATTTTAAGAAAGGCTGTTTGACACAAAGGACTACAAATTATTGAAGACCTAGCAGTCAAGGTATTCTCAATATTTTTTTTTCTTTCAACATAAAAAGGAAAATAGACGATGTACCTTGAGCGGTTGATTACTGGTAATTGTGCTACCTTCTTAGTGATTGTACCGCTACAGGTTAAATAGGAATTTATCTATGTTGTAAACACTATTTTTTTATCTGGTATAAAGATTTGAAATTAGGTGTAAAATATGGTAGAAGAAATTGTAGAATCTATGAAGACAGTCATCTAATGAACTCGCAAATAAAAACGTCTTGTGTGAGGCATGAGGTTTGAAGATTATTTCGTAACTATGCGTGTGTTTGCCGCTCAAACACCTGAAACAAGTTGTGCGAGGAACCTATAGTTTAGCATCAAACCAAGGCAGAATCGGGCAACAACCCCAAAGCCTGTTCTTTTCTTAAGCTTGTTATCTTTTACAATTTCAGGAAAATAATTTTCGTCGGTGAAAAAGGTCATAATTTTGATATGACTTGGCACTATTGGTCTTGTGAGGGCTACAGCAAACATGTTGCCCGCTTTGATTTTAACCGCGAAAAGGTCTATTTTCAGTACATATCTGATTTTATAGTAGTTGATTGAGGAATATCGCTCAAATACCAAAAGCATGTTGTCAGTCCTCCACGCGTGGCCGCAGTGATCATGCAACCACTTGTGCGTAAGGCCCTGATAAAATTATACTGGCCATAAGTCGGTTGCGCTAATAAAAAGTAAATTCAATATTTCAAACAAATTACTGTCAAAGACAACTAAAGATGATAAGTTTAACTCCATAGATTAACATCAAAAAATGAATACGGCTCAGTTCTTGGCATGAGTTTGAATAATTGATAGCGTATAAATAAAGCCAATCAACGTTCGATGTAATTTCATTAGGGTTTTTTTTTTTCACCATGGAAGTTGAAAAGCAATATTTGAGGTTCACATTTCGTGTCTAGCAGAGGAAACAGATCACTTCTGGAAATAATGGCTACTTGATCGTAATGCATTGGTTTTGTGTTATTGAGATCCACTGATCAAATATTTGCACATTTTTTAGTCTATGCCTTCAAGTGTGTATAATGATTTTCTGGGTTTTTTTCGTGCAGATAGCCTAAAGACCGCAACACCATCTGTTACAGAAAGAAGACCAAGGAACTACCACACAACTACCCCAAACTCTACAGCGCTCACAGGACTACAAACGGCGATAGTAGAAGAGTTTATCAATACAAGAACATGAATGGGTCATTGAATAGTACAAAGTTAAATTTAACTGGTACTCCGTACGAACCAGTTTGGATATGGCTGACGTCCTTGCTACTTCCGTTTATTTATATTGGCAATGTATTGGTGATTGTATCCTATTTTTCCAATAGACTTCTGCACACAAGAACTTATACGCTCCTAGTGAGCTTGGCCGTGTCTGATCTTATTGTTGGTCTTATTGCTGTGCCATTCTGGATAGAATGTATGATCCACCAAACCAAATGCATACAAAACTTATTACTTTTCAAATTCCTCGACTTGTTTAGTGCTTTTGCTTCGATTCTACACCTAACGACGATTACAATCGAACGATATGTCGCGATTTGTCGACCGTATTTTCATGCAAGGCTATCGAGTCGATTCCACGTTGGAGCTCTTATCTTTGTTTGGACGTTTCCTATGACGATGGCGGGGTTGTCTTGGTGTTTTACCGACCCTCCTCATCGATATACTTTTAATTGCACTGTGTTTGTTCTAGGGTTTGCCCTTCCTGTTACTACCATTATTTCAATGTATGTTGGCATCTTCAGAGCTGCGAAATCGCTATTAAAGCGGCAACAGAGACCGTATTTATATCCCAACGAGAAGGACACAAGAAAAAGGCTTCGTGACGATCGCAAGGTTGCTGTAACAGTTGCTGTGATTTGCGGTTTTTTCATCGTTGCTTGGCTTCCATTTTTTGCGCTGTCGATCATTGCAGGATTTTGCGAGCAGTGTTTGCCAGATAAAATAATGAACCTGCACAGAATGGTGGCCGTTGTGAAACTTCTTCATTATGGGAACAGTATGGTCAACCCAGTGGTGTACACATTTCGAGACCGTGAAATGAGAAACACGTTTGTTAAGATTCTAAGAATTAAAGTTTGCTGGCGACGGTTGGCGTCATTTAGACGCAAGGAAAAAAATACAACCTACACCACCCAAATGACAGAAACTCGAAAGAATTGATATGACAAATGATTCAGTCTTGCTTGCGCTTGGCTTTGCGTCTTTTATGATTAAACTAATGGCGTTTATATGGAGAGATAGTGAAGATTATTTCGCTAGGCAAGCCCTTGGCGCTCAAATCCCTATCAGTGCCAGTGGACTCACAAATCTGATCTTTTTGAAGATGTGGAGGGGACTGGTGGAATATCCCCTCACCAATCTCAAACAATGACGTCATCGTTATGCACGCCGACGCATTTCACTACAAAGTAAACTTGTAACCGGAGTTTCATATAAGGGTTCAATGAAGAAATAACATATATAGATCAACCTTATCAGTTCAAGATAGTGCATGCCGTTGGATTTCAATATACAGGGTATAGTTTTAAAGAGGTGTAAAATGAGCCGTTAGTGGGTTGGGGTGACTTGAGCTACACGCCTGTAGCTGTACGAGAGATATCAATAGTCCAGACCGTGCTAGATTCAGAAACAACTCAGACAAAAAAATCCACCCAACAAACAATCCTTAACGCTCAATCAAACACCATCAAACGAATCGTTCAAATGATGACACGCTGGATCGCCTAATAACCTCGTCTGACTGAAATGCCTATCACCAACCAGTATTCCTTACGATAATACATCTTAAAAAAACGTTTTTATAATGATATGGGAATGGATTGCTAACGGACAAAATAGAAATGTGAATCAGACAACAGCAATCCATATACGCTTTTTCTGAAATAGCATAGAACATTCCATTGTGCTGTGTAGATTCAGTAAAACATATTTTGTTCCTGCGGCCATATATGGCATTGTTTGTACTGAATCTAGACCACAATGCATCATGATTTCGTATTTTAAGCAAGCTTAACTTTTTAACTTCTTTATAATGTACGTCTATAACTTTATGTTATAATATATTTACATCTTTGAAGCAACTTTAAATATTGCCATAATAAAGCTCATAAACCCTTGCCTTTTATATATTTTAGCTTTGTGGGATAAAAATTTCATTTACGAAGAGAGAAATAATTCTGAATTATTCATATATTTTCCTGTTATATTTATACTCTCGTATGTTATTCGATTTTATCCCAATGTACTCATACATTTAACATGTGCTGTTTATAAACTGTGAAAGTTCAAAATACCTATTTTTTAGCGGCCGAGCCCGTCGGTGATGAATGTAGATATAAAGGACAAAAACTGTCGACAGCAGAAAAGCCCATCCAAGGAGTCTAACTAGTAGTAGGAGCTTTCTATTCCTTTGTTTTCTATTATCTATAATCTAAGCTATATTGAGCTATTAATTACTATTATTTTACATGCTGTAATGGTCTGCTAAATATTGCGGAGTCGACATTCAAAGCACTGGTTTAACCAAATAGACCTATAGCTCATCATCATTTACAATCTAAACTACTGTTTTTCTATTCTTACCTTGCTTATACCAGACCATTATTTTCAATCGCTTTTTTGCAGTATTTAGGGGTTTTTATGGTGGAAATTCCCAATAGACTTTACAGATATTCTAGAAACACTGCAAACGCGCCTTCAGAAAAATATTTGTTCAGTAACCAAGCCTTCAAATAGCACCACAGGGTTCCCGGGCCTGTAGTGTTTTGCTAATTACTTTTTGCGATTTTTGTTWAAAAAAAACGTTTTTCAAGTATGAAGGTGGGATAAAGTTATCACTCTATACATTTTGTATGAGTTTTATATACCAGTTGATAATGATAACGTTATCAACCCTGGCCCCTGGACGTGATGTCTTTTACGCAAAGTCCTGTTTTCAAACCAGCCGTCATGAGAAATCTGTGCATCAATGAAATCAAAATTTGTTGATTTTTGCTCAATTAAAACATACACTCAAATCATAAAAACCAAGGCGGTCTTACTGATTTTATCACGTTTTAAGACAACAATATTATCAAAGTCGCCGATAATAATACACACAACGCCAATCAATGAATGTAAGGCCATATTTGATTAGGTATTTCCACGAAAAATAAACACGAAAATCTGCTTTTGTCTATACAATGTCAGTCGGCAAACGTCAAGAAAATACTTAGGGGAAATGAAGGGCTTAGGATGCTAATCCGTCATGAACGAAAACTATACGATAGGAAAACAAGGTATGCAAATATTCAGAATGAAAAAGGAAGATTTTAATAGGCGTTTTTGAGTATTTGATAGGAATTTTTAGAGCAAAATTCACATTGAAGTGTTATCCAAAAGTTTTTATTTATTATTATTATTATATTTCAAATATGATAACGGGAATAAAATGAGACAAAAATGCAAAGTTTTCCTTTGTTAAATGAAAGTAAAATGTACCTTTATTCAAAACTGCCAAAAGAAAAAAAAAAGAAAAAAAACGGAAATGCTGGCAGATGTCTTGGTAATGGCTACTCCATTATGTACACTGAAAAAATGTAGATATTATCAGCAATGATTATCAAAACGGTTTGTCATGTGAGGTACATATCGTGCAAAAGTTTATCTTCTGGTTATTTCATTACTGATGGCGAGAAAAGGACTGAAAAAAAAAAAACAGATAAAAAAACCTAGGGTCAAATAAGACTTGACATGTATATCAATATCGCTGAAAACTGACCGGCTTTTAAAGAAAACCAATTATATTTACAAATGTACATTCAATTAATTAGAAGTCAGTCGTTTTTAAAAATTGTCTATCAAATGCCAAGCATTTTGTTAGATATCTTTTTTTTTTTGCATGTGTTTGGCTATTAAAAGAAAGCAGAAATAAATAAACTACCTCTTTCTTTTTATAATCACTTTAGTAACAATAATTCTTCGCGCAACCTGTGTAAACAATGTTTTTTCTCAAAGGAGGATGTAGTGTGTAAATCATGGGTAAAGCACCCTCTTTACTTACTAAACCATTTCTTTCCAAAAACATTGTTTATTTCGGGAACTTTTGATTGGAACAAAAATAAATTTGATCTTAATGGATGAGTGATTGCTTTTAATTATAACAGACGCGAATAATCCAAAGTTAATCATCCACAACATTCTCAACACGAGTTCCTGTGAGGGCAGTTGTACTTGTGTCAACTTCTCTTCAGCATCAATGTGGTTTTTTATTAATTGTCTTTAAATCAATGTTCTGAAGCCATTGAATTCCTAACTAAGTCACGGACCGGATCCTGAGGTGAGTTATTGACAAAAGATTCAAGTTTTCACTCAAAACAAAGCAAAGTCTTCTTGGTACACAGACTCTATGTAAACGAATGTCAACTTATCTTAAGCCTTTGAAAGTCAAAACCAGTGTCTTATAGAAACACACGAAATCTCTTAAGCAAGTTATTTTGAGGTTAACAAAAGCAAAGATCACCAAATTAACAAGAAACAAAGATACACTAAGGATTTGTTACATCAACCGATAATGAACTCGACTAACATTCAAAAAGTATCACAAGGAGCAACAGTATTCTACTGCATCATCATGGGAGCAGTTCTCACGACCGCTGTGTTTGGGAATTGCTTAGTCCTCTTGGCGGTAAAAAGGACCAGATCTTTAAGGAATACAGCCGCTATTTTAGTTGTTAATCTAGCATGTGTGGATTTGGCGGTGACTGTGTGTATTGTGCCATTTGTCATCGTTACTGCTTCAGCTCAACAGTGGGTGTTATCAAGAGAGCTTTGTCTCGCTACGGGGTTCATGAATTCATTTTTGACGGCAGCTCAGATCATGGCATTACTTCATATTAGTTTAAACCGATTTTTAGCCGTTGCATATCCTCATTCGTACGACACGAAACTCTCCAAGCGAATCACGCTCGCTATGGTTGTCACGGGCTGGGTTTATTCCTTCTTCTGGACTCATTTGCCGTTTTACGGTTGGGGGTCCCTGGGGTTCATCAAAGGGACTCTCTTCTGTAATATTTTGTGGTCTCAGCAATTAAGCTTTGCGGTCACAGCACAGGCATTATGTTACTTTATTCCGTGTATAATAGCAGGAACACTATATTTAGTGACCTATATTAATGTACGTAAGCACTGGAAGAGAGCGAAAGAACGGACTCAATCAACGATGTCACTGGGCGAAATAAACATAGCCGCAGCTGTCACGCAATCCACAGAAGCAGTCACAGCTTCGGTAACGCAATCTGCTGTGGAAGTGACAATTAATCAAGAAGATGCGGAATCGGCAAAAGCCACTCGTGAAGCAGCGAGAGCTGCAAGGTCGAGGAGAAAACGACGAAGAGCGATGGAAAACCGCGTGACAAAGACCCTTCTGGGAGTAGCCATTGCTTTCGCCGTATGCTGGTTCCCACGAGGGGTCGCAAATCTATGGGCCTTATTCATGGGTCGTGATAAGGTCCCTATTGGTCTAGAGTATGCTTCCACGGCGTTTGTATTCATGAATTCATCTGTAAACCCTGCCATATATGGTGCCCTTAACCAGGATTTCTACAAAGCTTTCATCAGTATATTGTCTTGTCAGAAGATGAAACGAAGTCGGAGTGATACGGAATTCGGATCTGGGTCGATTTCACGGACAGGAAAAAAGATATAAGCCCACTCTAACCTCGACTTCACGAGTGACGTCATCACTGTTTTAAACGTGACTGTTGCGACTGTTCTGAAATGGAGCTCTTGGGTATAATATGAATGCAAATCGTTTTGCGGGTGAAGCTAACTGCCTGAAAGGGCTGCAACGGAGGCTATCAGCTGATCACAACATAACCCAAACATGAAGAGCTTTCTTCCGTTACAACTTTCCGGATTCCAAACGACTGGCTTCCAAATTCCTAGATTCCTTGTTTTTAGTAAGGATTTGGGAAACAATACAGTACTAGATTCAGTTCGTTATTCTGATTCTATGGAACTACATGCTAAAGAGTCTGGATTTCACTCCGGGTTGCTGTTATTTATCAACATTAGAATATGACAAATATCGGATATTTGAGAACCAATCAGAACAATCCAGTATGTCACGCAATAATTGACACTGTACATATATTTATTTATTCAATGAAGTATACCGTTGCAAATTTTATCAAAAATCCTACGATAGTATTATCAAGATTCTGTCAGTGGTGCTACGCACTGCATTGATTAAATTTTTTTAAGGCATAATTCATATGATTTGGTATAGCCATAGTTCACATTACGGCACCAGTTCATATAGGTACGGCACGTGAAACGCACGCCGGATAATACCTTTGTGTACACCGATACTCAATGTTATTCATCGACACAACATCACCCAATTATTCTTTAAAATTTATGCATCTTATAAAGGAAATAAGAAATTATTGAAATGTAAGACTGTATTAAATGTTGTATGAAGATGATAGCTAGACTAAGCAATGGGCAACGACGCTATTTTCTCATCGCGCAAAGCATAACGGTAATGGAAGTCATCGCGTTAGTTATCACCATTTTAAAATACTCCAAAAAATCTATTTCGTGCTTTCAAGATGTATAAGTAATTTTGCAGGTCGATTTTCGATTGCTTTGCCTTTGTTGTAAGAACGATTTTTAGTTTCAGATCAGTTCAAAACTAGCAATCGACGATCAATCGCACCAACTGATGTTAGATTGTGTTCAATGGACTTCTGAACCTTCTACGTCACTAATTGGTTTTCAATAAATTGTGGGATCAGTTTCCAGAGAAAACAAAAGAAATCCGCCATGTTCTGTGAAAACATATCCTAAAATGCATTGCGAATTTGGAGTACATGACGTAAAAGATTCAGAGGTCTATTGTCGAATGTTTGATTGACTACGCTATGCATGTCTGACTTATATTATGGTTTACTCACAAACTCTAAAGTTACTAGGGCACAATTAGTTTTACTACCTATCTTTGATTCACGGGGAAATGTGGTATAACAGAACCGGAGACAGTTGTCACTAAACTCTAAAATTGTTGCTGCCGAAAATCATATTTTCTGTGGCTGAATGGAATTCGCTGTCGCTAAGAATAAATTTGTTTCAATTTGCTAAAAAAATCGGTTAAATTTACTAAGTAGGGATGGACAAAGATAAAGTCAAAGTCTCCAAAGGAGATTGTGAACGAGCTCTTTGGTCTGAGTAACCCATAATGACAGGGGCGGATCCAGGATTATCCTCAGGGAGGGGTGCGGGGCACTCAGTAGGAGGTGCACCACACAAAACATCATTACCATGAAGATACAAAATAAGGAAAGTATTGAAGGATAGAGATCTCGAAGGGGAGTTGGTGCGCACCTCCTGCACCCCCACCAGTTGGATCCGCCCCTGAATGAGCTCTGCCATGTTCTTGTTGATGTTTAGGGAAAATCCATCTGAAGCGTGTGAAATTATGGAGATTTAAAAGTATAAGATCAGAGCCGCATTTCTTGTCAAATGCTAAGGATCCTTTCATTATTATATAGCCTCATTCAAAATATCGTCGATCTATTTGCTTCTCATTAAAAGTAAGTCACTGAAATATGTACCTTTCAAAATAATATGTTATCAAAATACGAAAGGAGAAAATGAAAGACTTCTAGGACGTCAATGAAAAATATGAATATCTGCAATACTGTCCTTCACGCCTGCCAGTTGATTTTGACTTCCGTATGATTTAGAGCTTCAATTTGGTACGTTCATACTTTTGTTCGTTTTAAAACCTGACACAGTTCATCCGCAAAATTCATCTATGAACCAATCACATGCTTTTTTCAAGGTCACGTGCATATCCAGTGATACCTTGTTCCAACACCAGCTGCTAATCAGATCTAACTTGATGGATTTGGATGTAGATGTCCAACATTTTAACGACAGCGAATCGAATTGATTTATATAAGCGATAGCCATTTTGATTTATCAACAACAAATTGTTTGTGGCAATTTTTTTTAAAAACTTCAAGATTACAATAAAAATATGTCTTAAAGTTGCTTAAAGCGGTGCTAGTGCGGATGTCGAATTGATCATCCAGGATGACGGAATTCTGTAAAAAGAACCAATCATCCTCAACATTTACTAATACACAGTTCCTGCGAGTTTCGATTTGTGACAACTTGTTCAGCATTGATATCGTTTTCTTTAATCGTTTTCACATCAATGTTCTGTATCCGCTGCCACTAAAATAACATAGATGCAAGTTTTTACTGAAAACAAAGCCAAGAACACTCCTTTAAGTAAACGAACGACGGCTTTAATCTCTTTTAAAAGCAAGTTGTTTTGAGGCTGACGAAGTCAGAGAGCATAGTCAAGTTATCAAGAAACAAAGGAAGATGCAGCGAACATACTAATGCTCAACTATGAACTCAACAAACGCCCAAAGAGTATCACAAGGAGCAACAGTGCTCTACTGCGTCGTCCTGGGAGCAGTTCTCATGACCGCTGTGTTTGGGAATTGCTTAGTCCTTTTGGCAGTAAAAAGGACCAGATCTTTAAGGAATACAGCCGCTATTTTAGTTGTTAATCTAGCATGTGTGGATTTGGCGGTGACTGTATGTAGCTTGCCATTTGTCATCGTTACTGCTTCGGCTCAACAGTGGGTGTTATCAAGAGAGGTCTGTACAGCCACAGCGTTCATGAATGCATTTTTTGGAGCAGCTCAGATCATGGCATTACTTCATATAAGTTTGAATCGATTTTTGGCCGTTACGTATCCTCATTCATACCACACGAAACTATCTATACGAATCACGCTCGCTATGGTTGTCACGGGCTGGGTTTATTCCTTCCTCTGGACTCATTTGCCGTTTTACGGTTGGGGGTCCCTGGGGTTTATCAAAGGGACTCTCTTCTGTAATATTTTGTGGTCACAGCAGTTAAGCTTTGCAGTCACAGCACAGGTATTATGTTACTTTATTCCGTGTATAATAGCTGGAATACTATATTTAGTGACCTATATTAATGTACGTAAGCACTGGAAGAGAGCGAAAGAACGGACTCAATCAATGATGTCACTAGGTGAAACAAACATAGCCGCAGCTGTCACGCAATCCATGGAAATAGTCACAGCTTCGGTAACGCAATCTGCTGTGGAAGTGACAGTAAATCAAAAAGATTTAGAATCGGGAAAATCCAATCGTGAGGCCGCGAGAAGCGCAAAGTCAAGCAGAAAACGACGAAGAGCGATGGAAAACCGCGTGACTAAGACCCTTCTGGGAGTAGCCTTTGGTTTTGCCGTGTGCTGGTTCCCACGAGGGGTCGCAAATCTATGGGCCTTATTCATGGGTCGAGAGATGGTCCCTATTGGTCTAGAGTATGCTTCCACGGCGTTTGTGTTCATGAATTCATCTGTAAACCCTGCCATATATGGTGCCCTAAACCAGGATTTCTACAAAGCTTTCATCAGTATATTATCGTGCCAGAAGATCAAGCGAAGTCGGAGTGATTCGGAAATCCCGTCTGGATCGATGTCACAAGCCTCGTCTTTACGACTGGGGTCATGTAATCTTCACGTGACTGCGAACAGACCCCTTGGGGAGAATGGAAACCATAGTTCCATGGGAACAAAGTGAGTTCCCGACGACTGCTGAATATCGGAGGATTTCGCCACAGAATTTACGTCTATATTTACTAAGCATCTAAGAACCATTCAGAACGCAGAACAATCTGTCACAGAATATTTCATCAGGCAAATTTCATTGCTGAATACTTTAATAATGCAAATTTTATCAAAATTTTATGAAAATATTGTAGCAAAATTTATCATTTAGTACTTTCCTTTTAGCGTTAATCGATCACTTTTTCTCGTACAATTTTGTATATCAAACAATAGGAACATAAAATGAAATGGAAAAGCAACTGATCAGGCATCCTCCATCAGCTTCCTCCAAAGCCAGCTTTATAGCTATCTTTATTTTATCTACGATCGGGTAGGCTTATATTAGTTCCCAGACTTCCTCTCCCAGAGTAAGAGAGATGTCTGTGGAGGAGTCTATAGGATCGATGCGTCCTTTATACGAAAAGCAAAAAAGCGATAAATCAGATTGCATGGAATTGAAATTTAAAGATATAAAAGAAGATACTTTAAATGTTGAATTTTGCGGCATGCGGGGACTACGCCTAGTGCAAAATTGTCGGATACACTACGGTGTCCCCAYGGCACTTTTCTGGCTCCGTCACAATGCAGTCGATTGTATTAAAGTCCTTGTCAAGACAAATACGAATACCAGCAAGATATGACAAACCATCCTATTAAAACAAACGGCTCAAATAAGTATTCTAGTACTTATTTGTCCAAGGCTCTATATAATGATATGCACACGGGCCCCGAAGAGAAGGGTCCCTTTTTCTATACAAACAATGCCCCTTGTACGAGCTAAATTGAAGTTGAACCTCTTTTAAAGGACCACCTCTTACTACGGACACCTTTACTTTACGGGCAGCTTTTCATTGGTCTCGTAAAATAATATTTGAAACCTCGTTTATCACGGTTTATAACGGATACCTCCTTTTTGCGGAAACCTCTATATTGCGGAATGTTTTCTCCAATTTTCGTGCTCATAAAAGATTTTTTCGGGCCTTTTTATGGAAAATTTTCTAACCCTCTGAATTACAGCTGGTTGGACATACAAAGAATTAAAATAAAAAATAAAAAAGATAACATGACGTCAAGTATTACTCACAGGCCCAGTTAAGCAAATAACACGTCCTTTTGCGTCATATGATTTCCTGATGGCATTCTCCACGTCTTCCACCTTGTAACGAGAGGAAAGGAATATCATCAGTTCATAGTAAAAACGCTCTGTCCTTCGCGATTCAAAATGCAAAAGGTCACCGCCTTCGTTACCAGCAACCACGACTTCCGCGTGATTTCATGTGAATGAATATACATTTAGAAAATAGAAAGACTTACATCATATCGTTCGGTATCACTTGGTACAATGTTAGAACTCGTCAAGCCCCTGTAAGAGCATAGAGTTTGCGTTTAGATTATTCTAGAAGATGTTGATGCGTTGATGATAGTGATGATAATGAAAGCGATTATGATATGTTGAATGCTATTATGACGTCAAAAAAGATAGCTATGATGCCGATGACGGCCCTGATAATGAGGATATTGCCCATAATGATGGTAATGAAGTCGATAGTAATACTGAAATCATGCATATTATAGCCAATATTTAAACCATCATGCATGTTCTGATTACTTCAAAGGCCAATTGTTTCGTTTCGTCATTTAATTCACATTGTACAGGAGATATTACGAGCAATGAAGAACAAATTGCCGTAGACTCTTGACGAAGAAGAAACGTTGATGCATTACGCTCAAAGAGCTCAAAGAGCCATGGCCACACTCTTATTTCTCGTTTCTTTAGTTGCTAAGTTATGGTGCGTACCTCTAAAAAGTATCCTAGCAAATGAACATAGAGTATGCTTACTTGAGCAGATTATACTGAAGATTCAATTCCAGTGCTTTGAAAAAATACTTGTACTCTGAATTGAGAGAAGGCAGTGTCACTGCGCATGTCCCGTGTTTCTCCCATTCGTGAGACCTGAAAGTTGAATCATTTCAAAGACGACACGATTTTTTGATATTCAAAATTTCATTGTATAAATTGTAAGTGTTGAAGTGAAAGATGTTCGTGGATATTGCTCATGCACAATTCATAGCTTCTTGAAATGACAAAATTGTGTGAAACAACATGGAGTAGCACTGGATTTGTTGTCTAAAACTGTGCCACATGTTAATTTTTGGAGAAAAAATGAAGAAAACTGTCAAACATTTAAAATTATTTTACAACATTTTACCAGAGTTGTGCTGCATTGGATTCACTTGTGTCAGGAAAAGATAACCAATGAGTCATCATCTTTGATCTCAGACTCTAAAAAAATTTAATATCAATAACAACAAAAATTCTTATTTCAATTAAGCACAAAATAGTGAAACAGATTGTATACATGTCCTCATGGAAACTTTTACAGGGCAAGGGTGCAGACACACCCACTTTCAATAGTTCTCAGCCCATACATACCTCAATCTGGTTTTTGTCAAATGGCAATGATTTGTTACAATATGCAGGATCTGGTGTTCCATTGATTGTGGGCCTGAAATAAGCAAATGCATGGGAAATGTATGTGAACTGATTGGAAGACTTGATCTATCGATTGGTAATCAGTAATGCGACTAATGATCAACTCTGATAAAAATAAACACTTGAGAATAGTCATTAGATCAACTGAAAACTTAATAGACTTTATCATCATAATCATTATCAACAACAACATCAACATCAACATCATCAACATATTCATTATCATCATTGTCATCATGTTTCCGACAAGGAACACAAATGGTATTGGGTGCTTCTGCTGGGGTTAGCACAACATACAACAGTCACGGCATCTCTTTTTCAGTTTGTGAATATCAAGACTCACCACAGACCATGGATGGTCCACGTATTTACTCCCTCAGGGACACAACTGTTGGTGAATTTCATACTGTTAATCCTCCAAGGATCTTCCTAAGAATACCAAAAATTGTCCTTGTAAGTAATTTCTCAAAAGAAACTTGGCATAGTAAACATTACTTCTTAAATCTATCAATTATTTCTTTGTTAAATGGCTGAAGTCTTGGCTATTCAAATTTACAAGCCTTGGGGTACTTCGGGAACCACAACCAACTCTTTGATGGCACAAATGCAATGCTTGGCAGTATCTCAAACACAAGTTTCACAACAAAAATCGCTAGCAGTTTTGAACTAAGAGATATACTAACATTTGATAAGTCTTTATAGTAGCACTGACTCTGAGGCCACCATTGACTGTACACAAAGTAATTCCACTCATGATCTCTGGTACTGAAATAGTAGCAAAAGCAATGGTAATATCTTATTGTACTGTAGATATGTGGATATGTAAACCTTATTTCACCCCGGGATTCACTTATATAACTTTATATCCAATGGCATCCATACATTTGATTTATCTACTCATTCAGGTGGATCAATAATTTTAATAGTCTCCTTCACAGTTCCCTGCGCCATCTTGAAAGGTAGCTGTGCCTTTGCATCGAAGCGGGACGAGCGTTGACTGTGCAATTATAACAACCACAGACAATTATTCAAGGCATCTATCCTTGCATTATAACAACTACAGACAATTATTCAAGGTATCTATCATTGCATGCTCAACAGTTGTCTCACTTCGATGCAAAGGCACAGCTACCTTTCAAGATGTTGCAAGGAAAAATGAAGGAGACTATAGACAAGTTTTTTGATGGCCATTTTTTAATTTTGAAATAAAAGGCTTCATTGTGGTTTTTCTTTCTTTGTTTCATACCAATAAGAAGTGTAAAGGATAGTCACGTACTTACTTAATCACAAACGAAAAGGAAATAAATACCAAAGAAGCTGAAACGAATGCTAAAAGAAGTAAAAAATAACAAGTTTTACATGTATAGCTTAATCAAGTTAAGGTGGTTGCATCTATTGTATAAATTTATTGTCATTTAGAATTAACTCAGACTAAACCATCCTGCACATATTAACTACCAGGAGGAGTCGAGAATCAAACAAAACCAAATAAAGAACACAACCTTTGTTTTGTTCTGGTCTATTGAAAATTCATTCAATCGCAACAGAAGTTATATTTTGTCGAAATATTTTAGAAATAACTTTATAAATGCGCTTTTTACTTACCTTGCAAAAGAAGCTTTGCCATGGCGGTTACAATGAGTAGTAGTTTATCACATATAACCAAAGGAGAAAGAAGAAATTAGCCCTTTTTCCTAGAAGATGACCTATAATATCCTTTCGAAACCTGCCAATCTCATGTGATCGGGAAGGTCAGTTTCAACAAGGCGTTCCTAACTTATTGTCGGGCTCCCTGCGTTAAACAGAGGAGGACTGAGCACTAAATGCCATTCAACGGTTATACACAATATTTGAAGTTTGTCTTTTGGTTTGATCGATTGTTCTTTTAGTGATTTCATAGTTTATCATGTCAAGTAATTGGGAATTTAGCGAGGATGAGATCAGGGATAAATTAGCTGAGCTAGGGTACAGTAATATCCCGCGAGAGAAGCTTCAAGAGTTCGCAAATGGTGAGTTTTTTGCCTTGAATCGGTGGGTTTGTGATTCAAACAAACTGAGAAGTACTCTGACTTTATTTATATATATTTTATATATTTTTGGGGTTTTGGAGTTGATTTTTCAAGTAGCAGTTTCATTTGATAAAATCACCAGCGCGGCGTAAAAAAAAAACTACCAAAAAGCTTTAAACTTTTGCAGAACTGCACATGTGACTTCAGTAGTAAGTTTAAGTTTTTATCAAATCAATGTCCCTAAAGAACTGATTCTGGCAATCTGTCAGATTAATTTGAAGTTGATTGACATGAACCCTGATTTTAATGATTATAAGTCTGCTAGCCATATAAACAGTTGACCTGATTTCATGCTCATTTGTTTTCCAAGATCTAAAGCAACTGATCAAGTATGAATCCTTACATGATCCCCAAGCCAGAGTCTACTCTGTGACAGACACTAGTACAAGCAATACAGAAAGTTTTACCAGTAGCACAGAAACTGAAACTCCTGGTAAGTATCGTAGGCTCATTTTACACAAAGCATTTCCCTTTTGAAACCTCAGAACTGCATGCTCTCATTTGTGGACAAAAAGAGCCACTTGAAGAGCAAAAACTGTCCTAAAACTGCAAACTTTATCCAAACATGACCACAGGCTTACCAGTCTCTGAGGAGTTACGGGAGATGGGCTACCTGTGGCGACAAACTTAACGGATTTTCACATGTAGTCAAAATATCGTTTCKAAACCGTATCTTTTCATTCTTGAAATATCAAAAAACTTCAATAAAGATGGTTCAATAGTTTATGAACATTTTTGGAGGGGTTATTTTCGATTTTGATGCTGTTTTAGTGTGTTTTGGGAGGGTTAGATTTCGACCTTCTCCAGAGTGAAGAGAAAAGGGTTAAAGGCTGGCAGCCGATCGCTCTCGGCCGGCCAACTGGTCAACTTCAACGCCGAATTTTTCCACCTTACGCCGGTCCTACAAAATCAAGCTTTTGGTATGCTGCAGGATAATAATTTTCCTACATCCTCGCCAAATTTCAGCTTCCAACGACCAATATCAACTGAGAAAATCGACCGCGAAGGTCAAAAATCCACCTTGTAAATATGATATGCACAAATTTTGAACTCAAAGGAATGTGG